ATTGATGACAGGTCCCAGAATACAACAAGAGCTGTTTCCAGTTTTCGTCAAATTCAGATGTTACACAGTAGTTGTCACAGCTGATATCATGAAAATGTTTAGACAAATTCTAGTTAATGAAGAGGATAGAAACTTTCAAAGGATATTTTGGCGGGACAGTCCAAGTGATCCTATTCAAGAATTTCGACTTAATACTGTCACATATGGCACTGCCTCTGCTCCATATTTGGCTACTCGTACTTTATACCAACTTGCCTACACTGAGCAGAATAACTATCCTTTAGCTTCGAAGGCTGTACTTCACAAATTTTTTGTAGATGATTGTTTGGTAGGTGCTCAAAACCACTGAAAGAGTGCAAAAATCTAGTAAATCAAACTCTTGCAAATGTTAGAACGTGGAGGATTTCTTCTGCGTAAATGGTCATCCAATGACTTTGTCAGTGTTAGAGAATATACCCCAAGGAGCTTGAGAAATGATTCTGAGGCTATGAAAATTCAAGACGATAACTCAATCAAAGTTTTAAGGAATTAATTGGAACCCCCGTGAAGACTACTTTAACTTTTCCGTATCCACTTTCTGGTGAAAAGTTTAAATACTCTAAAAGAGATATCCTTTCTGATTTAGTGCAAAAATATTTGACCCATTGGGTTGGCTTGCTCCTTGTATTATTTATGTCAAAATCTTGATACAAGACATGTGGAAACTCCATTTATCGTAGGATGAACCTGTTAGTGATGAGATTGCTAACAAATGGAAAATTTTCCGAAATGATTTACATCTTATTCAACAATTAAAAATACAGAGATTTGTTTTGATTCCTGACATGAACTATATTGATATCTGTGCTTTTTGTGATGCCGCCGATAAAGGCTACTGTGCAGCAATTTATTTGCGTTCAGTGTCATGTAATTTGGACATCAAAGTAACACTTTAACATCAAAAACAAGAGTTGCCCCTCTGAAAGTGCAATCATTACCTCGATTAGAGTTATGCGCTGCAGTTTTGTTAGTGAATTTGCTTAAATCAGTGTTAGAACATTTAGAGTTTCCTATATGTAAAGTTTTGGCCTGGACAGATTCTACTGTTGTACTATCCTGGATTTCTGCAGAACCATACCGCTGGGTTCTCTTTGTTGCAAATTGCATTGCTAAAATGCATAACACAGTTCCTAATGTTAGGTGGAATCATATCAATGGAAAGCGGAACCGAGCTGATTCAGGTACAAGAGGAATGTGTGTGTGTGTGATTATGGCAAAGCCTCGAGGGCTATCTGCCTAAGGGGAGGGATGCCTTCGTGGAGGACTTTCTAAGGGAAACTAGCTCGTACACACGTTACACATGGGGAAAACCACGAAAACGCCCATGCAGCCAGCCCGTTCGCGGGATTCCAACCTCGGACCGAACAAGAGGAATGTTTCCAGCAGAATTTCTGAAGTGTGAGCGATGGTTCATTGGACCTACTTGGTTATATTCACAAGATTTCGAAAACATGTCCTGACAGTGAACATCTTTGCTGATGTAGATTATGAAGGAGTTCGTAGAGAAGAAAGAAAAAACTTGCATTTCAAGTATCTTGTGTACAGTAAAGGGAAAATGACATTTTTAAACGGTATTCATCTTGGACAAAATTACATCGTATAGTTGGCTTTATGCCTAAGATTCATTTGCAACTGTCCAAAGTCCTCCGAAAATCAATTGAGAGGTTTTCTGACAACCTAGTGAGCTTTGATTAGCTACAAAAAAAGTGATTAAAAACATCCAAGTATTTTATTTTTCTCAGGAGCTCTCTTGTTTAAAAACATCGAGAGAATTAAAAAGTGTGAGCAGCCGAGTAATACAATTAACTCCCTTCCTTGATGAAGAAGGCGTCATTCGAGTAGGTGGTTGCTTAAAAAATGCAAACATTCCTGAAAATAGCAAACATCCTATTTTGCTTCCAAAGGAAGGACATGTCACTAATCTCATCGTAACTCATTACCATGTCAATTATTTGCACGCTAGTCAAGAGTTATTATTAAGCACTTTACGAATGCAGTTTTGGATTCTTGCGGTGAGAAGCATAGTGAGAAAGATTATTCACAAATGTATTCCTTGTATTAGAAATCGAGGCAAGACTGTGACCCAGATAATGAGTGATTTACCCTCGCCCAGAGTTCAACCATCAAGACCTTTTGCAGTCAACGGTGTTGATTATGCTGGTCCATATTCTATTAAGTCCCAAGTTGGGAGAAGAACAAAAACTTTCAAGTGTTACGTATCCATTTTTGTGTGTTTCTCAACAAAAGCTGTACACTTGGAGTTAGTCAGTGATCTATCAACTTCAACGTTTTTAGCAGCTCTAAAAAGATTTACCGCCCAACGAGGGGCAAACCATCTAAAATTTCGAGTGACTGTGCTACTAACTTCAAAGGTGCTAGTAAGGAACTGAAGGAGATTTATAAAAATGCAGCTCGCATTGAGAAAAGCAGTGAATTATGTGACTACATTACCTCAGAAGGTATAACTTGGTTATTTAATCCTCCGACATCTCCTCACTACGGTGGCTTGTGGGAATCTAATGTGAAATCCATGAAATTTCATCTTAAACGAGTATTAGGAATCCACACTTCTAACTTACAAGGGAATTTTTAACAGTGCTTACACAAGTGGAAGCGTGTATGAATTCCCGTCCTCTTTGTGATATCGTGATGTCTAATGATCCAAACGACTTTAGTGCATTGACTCCAGGTCATTTTCTGATTGGAAGCCCCTTTGCTTGCCATTCCGGAATCTGACTTGAGTGATGTGAAATCTTCACAACTTAAACGTTGGTCTCTAGTTCAACAGACTGTGCAACATTTTTGGAAACGATGGTGTGCAGAATATTTAACAACACTTCAACAACGTGCTAAGTGGTTTCGTGCGTCTCCAAATCTAAAATGTGTGATTTAGTTCTGATCAAAAACGAACAACTGCCTCCAAACAAATGGAAAATTGGAAGAATTGCCTTAATTCATCCAGGTAGTGATAAAAAGTTCGAGTGGCTACAATTCATACAGCCGCTGGTGATTTCAAACGAGCTGTTACTAATTGTGTCTTATCCCCAATCATGACTAATATGAACTATGAACTATTGACTTTTTTCATATTATTGAACTTTAATTTTAGTTGTATTTTCAATTAATTTTTTTGGTAATGTTATTATGTATGCTTTAACTATTTGTCTTTTTTGAACCCTTAGAAGGCTTCAAGGCTGGGGGCTATGTTTAGTATTTTTTGTTACCAAACGAATTACTAGTGTGTCTTTGCAACAATAGATTGCGTTGCTGCCTGATGATTCAATTCTGGTTGCTATGGTAACAAACTTTCAACTCATAACTTATTTGTATTCTATTTTATTTTTTAATTGCTGCAGTGCTAAGAGTGAAGTGTGCTGTGTCGTCACGTAGACGGCATTCCTTCTATTTCAAAGTGTTATGTAAAATAAATAAGTGATATTACAGTCCGCTTACCTTTGTTTTTGTGAACTTATTCTTAATATAGGGTGTGAAATTTATGGAGAAATTCAAAAATTTATCTTGGCCAAATTTTTTCAGTTTGTGCAAAGAATAATTCACTTGGCGAACTTCTTAATTTATAACAACCTATTTTCTATTCCTTTTTTTCATTGTAGATGAGTGGGAAAAATGTCATTTTTGGTACTTTCAATTAATTTTAACATGGTGCATTAACAACATTTGGCATTTTTATCGCTTTAAAAAAAAAAAAAAAAAAAAAAAAAAAAAAAAGAAGAAGAAGAAGAAGATGCCAAATTTCAAAACTTTTTCTCAGTGAGATTGATGGAGTTATAATTTTAGAGAAAAAGATGTTACACGATATGAACATTAAAATTTTAGGAGAGAAAATGATTAAGAAAAATTAGATTTCAAAGATTAAAATATAAGAGTTAATATTCTGAATGTCTAGAACAGATATTTGCAGCTTCCATCGAATTTACAAAAATCATAAATATGTAAATTCAGGTATATCTTAGAAAATTTTGAATAAAAAAACTTTAATTTTTTGCAGGTATGCCTAGAAATACATCTACTTTAAGATTATGTTAAAAATTTTATGAATTATAATAAATAATGTTTTTCAAAAAATTTACAAAAATTATTTAAAAACACAAATTTTAAAAATAAATCATAAACAATGGGCGAGTTTTATTTCGAATGAACCTGATTTTTGAAATGTGAAAGGAAGAATCAAATAAGTTTAATAAAAAAGAAGAGAGATTATTAAATATGCACCAAATTCAATTAACATTGAGGAGCTAAAATTTTGAGAGCGTTATTTTTTAAAAACTACTCTTGCGAAGAACCTGAAAAGAGATTGAAAAAAACAAATAAAAAAAAAGAAGAGAGGCTAAAAAAAAATCAATTACTGAGCTCGCTAAAGTGAAAGAAAAAGAAGTCCACAAAATTAGAGAAAAGGAGATCTGAGGAGCTAAAATTGAGAGCTGTTTTTACAAATACGCCATAATCTAGATCGAAATATAGAAGTCAACAATTTCAGATCTGATATACCTATAATATATATCTAATACACATCCTAAGTCGTGCTTTCAAGACATGAAAAACGCAATTTGAATTTTGTCAATGGAGAGATATAAAACTGTCCCATTTTTTTTTTTTTTTTCCACAGTGTACAGACATTAAATGTTTCATACTGGGAATTTCCTAAACATATGCTATCTGGCTAATATACATGTAATCAATAATATTATATTATTATCTTTGTCATGAGGTAATTAATTAGTACATAGCTATACTATAAATACTAATTGTTCTAGAAACTGTAAACTGCTTGCTGGCAACTTGAAATACATTTATCTATGTGAAAAGATGAACAATTCATTTTAATTTAATATTAATCAAAATACAGTTACTTGATATTTTATCAAATTTAGAGTTTCATATTTTCAGTTTACAGTTTTAAACAGATAAAATGAATAACATATACATAAAAGCTATCTTACTTTTCGTTCCATTTTATGCCTATATTGTGATGATGAACATCATAGTGCAATGGCTGATAGAACACCGAGTCATCAAAATCAACATCAAATGTATCCCAGAATGGTCCAAATGGATTACCATCTTTAGCATTGCAGCTGTTTCCTTCACCACGTGCAGAATAACAGAAAACTAAATAGAAAATTAATAAAAAATTATAACTCCATCAATCTCATAGAGAAAAAGATGATACACGATATGAACATTAAAATTTTAGGAGAGAAAATGATTAAGAAAAATTAGATTTCAAAGACTAAAATATAAGAGTTAATATTCTGAATGTCTAGAACAGATTTTTGCAGCTTTCCTCGAATTTACAAAAATCGTAAATACCATAGTATACATTATAAGAAAAACAATAGTAAAAAGATTTAAATTTTCAATAAGATTCTACAATGTTGAAAGTATTCTGAATTTTGTATCATAATGCACAAAGTGCATAAAGAAACAAACAGAGTTCCATAAATAATTTGTTTGGTTTACTTGAT